TCACTCAAATAGAAGATACGAAATAAATTCATCTAATGAACGTAAGGGTTTGAAAGGTAACTAACGCACATGTGTAGAGAAAATGGTGCATCGGCCAGTCTGGCCGGCATTTTGCACTTATAGTGCAAGTAGGGCCAAGGAGAACAGAAACGCTCATTTCTCAAAAAGTAAAGGGAATCTAGCGGTCTCACTCGATCAGAAGGTGGGAAATATATAAATCTAGTGAGCTAATAAGGTTCGAAAGGAATCTAATGCATATGTATATGGAAAATGGTGCATTGGCCAGGTCGGTCAGTATGGGAACTTAGAGTGCAAATGCCAGGGAGAACGGAAGCGCTCAGATCTCGCATAGTACACGGAATCTAGTGGTCTCACTAAAATAGAAGATAGGAAATAAAATCATCTAGTGAACGTAAGGGTTTGAAAGGTAACTAACGCACATGTGTAGAGAAAATGGTGCATCGGCCAGTCTGGCCGGCATTTCGCACTTATAGTGCAAGTAGGGCCAAGGAGAATGAAAACGCTCATTTCTCAAAAAGTAAAGGGAATCTAGCGGTCTCACTCGATCAGAAGGTGGGAAATATATAAATCTAGTGAGCTTATAAGGTTCGAAAGGAATCTAATGCATATGTATATGGAAATTGGTGCATTGGCCAGGTCGGTCAGTATGGGAACTTAGAGTGCAAATGCCTGGGAGAACGGAACCGCTCAGATCTCGCATAATACACAGAATCTAGTGGTCTCACTCAAATATAAGGTAGGAAATATATTAATCTAGTGAACGTAAGGGTTTGAAAGGTAACTAACGCACATGTGTAGAGAAAATGGTGCATCGGCCAGTCTGGCCGGCATTTCGCACTCATAGTGCAGGTGGGGCCAGGGAGAATGGAAACCCTCGTTTCTCAAAAAGTAGAGGGAATCTAACGGTCTCACTCGATCAGAAGGTGGGAAATATATAAATCTAGTCAGCTAAAAAGGTTTGAAATGTATTCAACGCACATGTATAGAGAAAATGGTGCAGTGGCCAGGTCGGTCAGTATCGGAACTTAAATTGCAAATGCCAAGGAGAACGGAAGCGCTCAGATCTCGCATAGTACACGGAATCAAGTGGTCTCACTCAAATAGAAAGTAGGAAATATATTCTCTAGTGAACGTAAGGGTTTGAAAGGTAACAAACGCACATGTGTAGAGAAAATTGTGCATCGGCCAGTCTGGCCGGCATTTCGCACGTATAGTGCAACTAGGGTCAAGGAGAACTGAAACGCTCATTTCTCAAAAAGTGGAGGGAATCTAGCGGTCTCACTCAATCATAAGGTGGGAAATGTATTTATCTAGTGAGCTAATAAGGTTCGAAAGGAATCTAATGCATATGTATATGGAAAATGGTTCATAGGCCAGGTCGGTCAGTATGGGAACTTAGAGTGCAAATGCCAGAGAGAACGGAAGCGCTCAGATCTCGCATAGTACACGGAATCTAGTGGTCTCACTCAAATAGAAGGTAGGAAATAAATTCATATAGTGAACGTAAGGGTTTGAAAGGTAACTAACGCACATGTGTAGAGAAAATGGTGCATCGGCCAGTCTGGCCGGCATTTCGCACTTATAGTGCAAGTAGGGCCAAGGAGAACGGAAACGCTCATTTCTCAAAAAAGTAAAGGGAATATAGCGGTCTCACTCGATCAGAAGGTGGGAAATATATAAATCTAGTGATCTAATAAGGTTCGAAAGGAATCTAATGCATATGTATATGGAAAATGGTGCATTGGCCAGGTCGGTCAGTATGGGAACTTAGAGTGCAAATGCCAGGGAGAACGGAAGCGCTCAGATCTCGCATAGTACACGGAATCTAGTGGTCTCGCTCAAATAGAAGGTAGGAAATAAATTCGTCTAGTGAACGTAAGGGTTTGAAAGGTAACTAACGCACATGTGTAGAGAAAATGGTGCATCGGCCAGTCTGGCCGGCATTTCGCACTTATAGTGCAAGTAGGGCCAAGGAGAACGGAAACGCTCATTTCTCAAAAAGTAAAGGGAATCTAGCGGTCTCACTCGATGAGAAGGTGGGAAATATATAAATCTAGTGAGCTAATAAGGTTTGGAAGGAATCTAATGCATATGTATATGGAAAGTGGTGCATTGGCCAGGTCGGTCAGTATGGGAACTTAGAGTGCAAATGCCTGGGAGAACGGAACCGCTCAGATCTCGCATAATACACGGAATCTAGTGGTCTCACTCAAATATAAGGTAGGAAATATATTAATCTAGTAAACGTAAGGGTTTGAAAGGTAACTAACGCACATGTGTAGAGAAAATGGTGCATCGGCCAGTCTGGCCGGCATTTCGCACTCATAGTGCAGGTGGGGCCAGGGAGAACGGAAACCCTCGTTTCTCAAAAAGTAGAGGGAATCTAACGGTCTCACTCGATCAGAAGGTGGGAAATATATAAATCTAGTGAGCTAATAAGGTTTGAAATGTATTCAACGCACATGTATAGAGAAAATGGTGCATTGGCCAGGTCGGTCAGTATCGGAACTTAAAATGCAAATGCCAGGGAGAACAGAAGCGCCCAGATCTCGCATAGTACACGGAATCAAGTGGTCTCACTCAAATAGAAAGTAGGAAATATATTCATCTAGTGAACGTAAGGGTTTGAAAGGTAACTAACGCACATGTGTAGAGAAATTTGTGCATCGGCCAGTCTGGCCGGCATTTCGCACTTATAGTGCAACTAGGGCCAATGAGAACGGAAACGCTCATTTCTCAAAAAGTAGAGGGAATCTAGCGGTCTCACTCGATCAGAAGGTGGGAAATATATAAATCTAGTGAGCTAATAAGGTTTGAAAGGAATCTAATGCATATGTATATGGAAAATGGTGCATTGGCCAGGTCGGTCAGTATGGGAACTTAGAGTGCAAATGCCAGGGAGAACGGAAGCGCTCAGATCTCGCATAGTACACGGAATCTAGTGGTCTCACTCAAATAGAAGGTAGGAAATAAATTCATCTAGTGAACGTAAGGGTTTGAAAGGTAACTAACGCACATGTGTAGAGAAAATGGTGCATCGGCCAGTCTGGCCGGCATTTCGCACTTATAGTGCAAGTAGGGCCAAGGAGAACGGAAACGCTCATTTCTCAAAAAGTAAAGGGAATCTAGCAGTCCGACTCGATCAGAAGGTGGGAAATATATAAATCTAGTGAGCTAATAAGGTTCGAAAGGAATCGAATGCATATGTATATGGAAAGTGGTGCATTGGCCAGGTCGGTCAGTATGGGAACTTAAAGTGCAAATGCCTGGGAGAACGGAACCGCTCAGATCTCGCATAATACACGGAATCTAGTGGTCTCACTCAAATATAAGGTAGGAAATATATTCATCTAGTGAACGTAAGGGTTTGAAAGGTAACTAACGCACATGTGTAGAGAAAATGGTGCATCAGCGTGTTTGGCCGGCATTTCGCACTCATAGTGCAGATGGGGCCCGGGAGAACGGAAACGCTCGTTTCTCAAAAAGTAGAGGGAATCCAACGATCTCACTCGATTAGAAGGTGGGAAATATATTAATCTAGTCAGCTAAAATGTTTTGAAATGTATTCAACGCACACGTATAGAGAAAATGGTGCATTGGCCAGGTCGGTCAGTATCGGAACTTAAAATGCAAATGCCAGGGAGAACGGAAGCGCTCAGATCTCGCATAGTAAACGGAATCAAGTGGTCTCACTCAAATAGAAAGTAGGAAATAAATTCATCTAGTGAACGTAAGGGTTTGAAAGGTAACTAACGCACATGTGTAGAGAAAATAGTGCATCGGCCAGTCTGGCCGGCATTTCGCACTTATAGTACAAGTGGGGCCAGGGAGAACGGAAACGCTCGTTTCTCAAAAAGTAAAGGGAATCTAGCGGTCTCACTCGATCAGAAGGTGGGAAATATATAAATCTAGTGAGCTTATAAGGTTCAAGAGGAATCTAATGCATATGTATATGGAAAATGGTGCATTGGCCAGGTCGGTCAGTATGGGAACTTAGAGTGCAAATGCCAAGGAGAACGGAATATCTCAGATCTCGCATAGTACACGGAATCTAGTGGTCTCACTCAAATATAAGGTAGGAAATATATTCATCGAGTGAACGTAAGGGTTTGAAAGGTAACTAACGCACATGTGTAGAGAAAATGGTGCATCGGCCAGTCTGGCTGGCATTTCGCACTTATAGTGCAAGTGGGGCCAGGGAGAACGGAAACGCTCGTTTCTCAAAAAGTAGAGGGAATCTAGCGGTCTCACTCGATCACAAGGTGGGAAATGTATAAATCTAGTCATCTAAAAAGGTTTGAAAGGTATCTAACGCACATGAATAGAGAAAATGGTGCATTGCCCAGGTCGGTCAGTATCGGAACTTAAAATGCAAATGCCAGGGAGAACGGAAGCGCTCAGATCTCGCATAGTACACGGAATCTAGTGGTCTCACTCAAATAGAAAGTAGGAAATATATTAATCGAGTGAACGTAAGGGTTTGAAAGGTAACTAACGCACATGTGTAGAGACAATGGTGCATTGGCCAGTCTTGCTGGCATTTCGCACTTATTGTGTAAGTGGGGCCACGGAGAACGGAAACGCTCGTTTCTCAAAACGTAGAGGGAATCTAGCGGTCTCACTCTATCAGAAGGTGGGAAATGTATAAATCTAGTCAGATAAAAAGGTTTGAAAGGTATCAAATGCACATGTATAGAGAAAATGGTGCATTACCCAAGCCGGTCAGTATCGGAACTTAAAATGCAAATGCCAGGCAGAACGAAAGCGCTCTGATCTCGCATAGTACACGGAATCAAGTGGTCTCACTCAAATAGAAAGAAGGAAATATATTCATCTAGTGAACGTAAGGATTTAAAAGGTAGAGAAAATGGTGCATCGGCCACTCTAGCCGGCATTTCGCACTTATAGTGCAAGTGGGGCCAGGGAGAACGGAAACGCTCGTTTGTCAAAAAGTAGAGGGAATCTAGCGGTCTCACTTGATGGACGTGGACATGGACGTGGACATGGATGTGGATGTGGACATGGACGTGGACGTGGACATGGACGTGGACGTGGACATGGACGTGGACATGGACGTGGACGTGGACATGGACGTGGACGTGGACATGGACGTCGACGTGGACGTGGACATGGACGTTGACGTGGACGTGGACGTGGACGTGGACCTGGACGTGAACGTGGACGTGGACGTGGACGTGGATGTGGACGTGGACGTGGACATGGACGTGGACGTGGACGTGGACGTGGAAGTGGACGTGGACGTGGACCTGGACACTGACGTGGACGTGGACGTGGACGTGGACCTAGACGTGGACATGGACGTGGACGTGGACGTGGACGTGGACATGGACGTGGACGTGGACGTGGACGTGGACATGGACGTGGACATCGACATGGACTTGGACATGGACGTGGACGTGGACATGGACGTGGACGTGGACATGGACGTGGACATGGACTTGGACGTGGACATGGACGTGGACGTGGACATGGACGTGGACGTGGACATGGACGTGGACGTGGACGTGGACGTCGACATGGACGTGGACGTGGACGTGGACGAGGACGTGGACGTGGACATGGACGTGGACGTGGACCTGGACGTGGACACGGACGTGGACGCGGACGTGGACATGGACGCGGACGTGGACGCGGACGTGGACATGGACGTGGACGTGGACGCGGACGTAGACATGGACGTGGACGTGGACGTGGACATGGACGTAGACGTGGTCGTGGACGTGAACGTGGACGTAGACGTGGACGTGGACGTGGACGTGGACGTGGACGAGGACGTGGACGTGGACATGGACGTGGACGTGGACCTGGACGTGGACACGGACGTGGACGCGGACGTGGACATGGACGCGGACGTGGACGCGGACGTGGACATGGACGTGGACGTGGACACGGACGTAGACATGGACGTGGACGTGGACGTGGACATGGACGTAGACATGGTCGTGGACGTGAACGTGGACGTAGACGTGGACGTGGACGTGGACGTGGAGGTGGAGGTGGACGTGGTCGTGGACATGGACGTGGACGTGGACGTGGACGTGGGACGTGGACGTGGACGTGGACGTGGACGTGGACATAGACGTGGACGTGGACGTGGACGAGGACGTGGACGTGGACGTGGACGTGGACGTGGAAGTGGACGTGGACGTGGACGTGGACGTGGAAGTGGACGTGGATGTGGACGTGGACGTGGAAGTGGACGTGGACGTGGACCTGGACATGGACGTGGACGTGGACGTGGACGTGGACGTGGACCTAGACGTGGACATGGACATGGACGTGGACGTGGACGTGGACGTGGACATGGACGTGGACGTGGACGTGGACGTGGACATGGACGTGGACGTGGACATGGACGTGGACATGGACGTGGACGTCGACATGGACGTGGACGTGGACGTGGAGATGGACGTGGACGTGGACGTAGACGTGGACATGGACGTGATCGTGGACGTGGACGTGGACGTGGACGTGATCGTGGACGTAGACGTGGACATGGACGTGGACGTGGACGTGGACTTGGACGTGGACACGTGGACGTGGACACGTTGACGTGGACGTGGACGTGGACGAAGACATTGTGGACGTGGACTTGGACGTGGACGAAGACATGGTAATGGACGTGGACGTGGATGTGGACATGGACGTGGACGTGGACGTGGACGTGGACGTGGACATGGACGTGGACGTGGACGTGGACATGGACGTGGACGTGGACGTGGACGTGGACATGGACGTGGACGTGGACATGGACGTGGACATGGACGTGGACGTCGACATGGACGTGGACGTGGACGTAGACGTGGACGTGGACATGGACGTGGACGTGGACGTGGACATGGACGTGGACGTGGACGTGGACATGGACGTGATCGTGGACGTGGACGTGGACGTGATCGTTGACGTGGACGTGGACATGGACGTGGACGAGGACGTGGACGTGGACGTGGACATGGACGTGGACGTAGACGTGGACGTGGACGTGGACGTGGACGTGGACGTGGACTTGGACTTGGACGTGGACGTGGATACGTTGACGTGGACGTGGACGTGGACGTGGACGAAGACATCGTGGACGTGGACGTGGACGTGGACGTGGACGAAGACATGGTTGTGGACGTGGACGTGGATGTGGACATGGACGTAGACGTGGACGTGGACGTGGACGTGGAAGTGGACATGGACGTGGAAGTGGACGTGGACATGGACGTGGACGTAGACGTGGACGTGGACGTGGACATGGACGTGGACGTAGACGTGGACGTGGACGTGGACGTGGACGTGGACGTAGACATGGACGTGGACCTGGACATGGACATGGACGTCGACGTAGACATGGACGTGGACGTGGACGTGGACATGGACTTGGACATGGACGTGGACGTGGACGTGGACGTGGACGTGGACGTGGACGAAGACATGGACGTGGACGTGGACGTGGACATAGACGTGGACGTGGACGAAGACGTGGACAGGGACGTGGACGTGGACGTGGACGTGGACGTGGACGTGGACGTGGACATGGACGTGGACGTGGACGTCGACATGGACGTGGACGTGGACGTGGACGTGGACATGGACGTGGACGTGGACGTCGACATGGACATGGACGTGGACGTGGACATGGAGGTGGACGTGGACACGGACGTGGACGTGGACGTGGAGGTGGACATGGAAATGGACGTGGACGTGGACGTGGACGTGGACGTGGACATGGACGTGGACGTGGACGTGGACATGGACGTGGACGTGGGCGTGGACGTGGAGGACTTGGACGTGGGCGTGGACGTGGAGGACTTGGACGTGGACGTGGACGTGGACGTGGACGTCGACGTGGACGTGGACATGGACGTGGATGTGGACGTCGACGTGGACGTGGACATGGACGTGGACGTGGACGTGGACGTGGACGTGGACATGGACGTGGACGTGGACGTGGACGTGGACATGGACCCGGACGTGAACGTGGACGTGGACGTGGACCTGGACGTTGACGTGGACGTGGACGTGGACGTGGACGTGGACGTGGACATGGACCCGGACGTGGACGTGGACGTGGACGTGGACCCGGACGTTGACGTGGACGTGGACGTGGACATGGACGTTGACGTGGACATGGACATGGAAATGGACGTGGACGTGGACATGGACGTGGACGTGGACGTGGACGTGGACATGGACGTGGACGTGGACGTGGACATAGACGTGGACGTGGACATGGACGTGGACGTGGACATGGACGTGGACATGGACGTGGACGTGGACGTGGACGTGGACGTGGACGTGGACATGGACGTGGACATGGGCGTGGACGTGGACGTGGACGTGGACGTGGACATGGACGTGGACATGGACGTGGACATGGACATGGACGTGGACATGGACGTGGACGTGGACATGGACGTGGATGTGGACATGGACGTGGACATGGACGTGGACGTGGACATGGACGTGGACGTGGACGTGAACATGGACGTGGACGTGGATGTGGACTTGGACATGGACATGGACGTGGACGTGGACGTGGACGTGGAGGACTTGGACGTGGACATGGACGTGGACGTGGACGTGGACATGGACGTGGACGTGGACGTGGACGTGGACGTGGACGTGGACGTGGACATGGACGTGGACGTGGACGTGGACGTGGACGTGGAGGAACATGGACGTGGACGTGGACGTGGACGTGGACGTGGTCGTGGACGTGGACATGGACGTGGACGTGGACGTGGACATGGACGTGGACGTGGACGTGGACGTGGACATGGACATGGTCGTGGACGTGGACGTGGACGTGGACGTGGACGTGGACCTGGACGTAGACGTGGACGTGGACGTGGACGTGGACGTGGACCTGGACCTGGACGTAGACGTGGACGTGGACGTGGACGTGGACGTGGACGTGGACGTGGACATGGACGTGGACGTGGACGTGGACATGGACGTGGACGTGGACGTGGACATGGACGTGATCGTGGACGTGGACGTGGACGTGATCGTTGACGTGGACGTGGACATGGACGTGGACGAGGACGTGGACGTGGACGTGGACATGGACGTGGACGTAGACGTGGACGTGGACGTGGACGTGGACTTGGACTTGGACGTGGACGTGGATACGTTGACGTGGACGTGGACGTGGACGTGGACGAAGACATCGTGGACGTGGACGTGGACGTGGACGTGGACGAAGACATGGTTGTGGACGTGGACGTGGATGTGGACATGGACGTAGACGTGGACGTGGACGTGGACGTGGAAGTGGACATGGACGTGGAAGTGGACGTGGACATGGACGTGGACGTAGACGTGGACGTGGACGTGGACATGGACGTGGACGTAGACGTGGACGTGGACGTGGACGTGGACGTGGACGTAGACATGGACGTGGACCTGGACATGGACATGGACGTGGACGTAGACATGGACGTGGACGTGGACGTGGACATGGACGTGGACATGGACGTGGACGTGGACGTGGACGTGGACGTGGACGTGGACGAAGACATGGACGTGGACGTGGACGTGGACATAGACGTGGACGTGGACGAAGACGTGGACAGGGACGTGGACGTGGACGTGGACGTGGACGTGGACGTGGACGTGGACATGGACGTGGACGTGGACGTCGACATGGACGTGGACGTGGACGTGGACGTGGACGTGGACATGGACGTGGACGTGGACGTCGACATGGACATGGACGTGGACGTGGACATGGAGGTGGACGTGGACACGGACGTGGACGTAGACGTGGAGGTGGACATGGACATGGACGTGGACGTGGACGTGGACGTGGACGTGGACATGGACGTGGACGTGGACGTGGACGTGGACATGGACGTGGACGTGGGCGTGGACGTGGAGGACTTGGACGTGGGCGTGGACGTGGAGGACTTGGACGTGGACGTGGACGTGGACGTGGACGTCGACGTGGACGTGGACATGGACGTGGATGTGGACGTCGACGTTGACGTGGACATGGACGTGGACGTGGACGTGGACGTGGACGTGGACATGGACGTGGACGTGGACGTGGACGTGGACATGGACCCGGACGTGAACGTGGACGTGGACGTGGACCTGGACGTTGACGTGGACGTGGACGTGGACGTGGACGTGGACATGGACCCGGACGTGGACGTGGACGTGGACGTGGACCCGGACGTTGACGTGGACGTGGACGTGGACATGGACGTTGACGTGGACATGGACATGGACATGGACGTGGACGTGGACATGGACGTGGACGTGGACGTGGACGTGGACATGGACGTGGACGTGGACGTGGACATAGACGTGGACGTGGACATGGACGTGGACGTGGACATGGACGTGGACATGGACGTGGACGTGGACGTGGACGTGGACGTGGACATGGACGTGGACATGGGCGTGGACGTGGACGTGGACGTGGACGTGGACATGGACGTGGACATGGACGTGGACATGGACATGGACGTGGACATGGACGTGGACGTGGACATGGACGTGGATGTGGACATGGACGTGGACATGGACGTGGACGTGGACATGGACGTGGACGTGGACGTGAACATGGACGTGGACGTGGATGTGGACTTGGACATGGACATGGACGTGGACGTGGACGTGGACGTGGAGGACTTGGACGTGGACATGGACGTGGACGTGGACGTGGACATGGACGTGGACGTGGACGTGGACGTGGACGTGGACATGGACGTGGACGTGGACGTGGACGTGGACGTGGAGGAACATGGACGTGGACGTGGACGTGGACGTGGTCGTGGACGTGGACATGGACGTGGACGTGGACGTGGACGTGGACATGGACGTGGACGTGGACGTGGACGTGGACATGGACATGGTCGTGGACGTGGACGTGGACGTGGACCTGGACCTGGACCTGGACGTAGACGTGGACGTAGACGTGGACGTGGACGTGGACCTGGACCTGGACGTAGACGTGGACGTGGACGTGGACGTGGACGTGGACGTGGACGTGGACGTGGACTTGGACGTGGACGTGGACGTGGACGTGGACGTGGACGTGGACTTGGACGTAGACATGGACGTGGACATGGACGTGGACGTGGATGTGGACATGGACGTGTACATGGATGTGGACGTGGACGTGGACGTGGACGTGGAGGACTTGGACGTGGACATGGACGTGGACGTGGACGTGGTCGAGGACGTGGACGTGGACGTCGACATGGACGTGGACGTGGACGTGGCAGTGGACGTGGACGTGGACCTGGACATGGACGTGGACGTGGACGTGGACTTAAACATGGACATGATCGTGGACGTGGACGTGGACGTGGACGTGGACATGGACGTGGACATGGACGTGGACGTGGACGTGGAAGTGGACGTGGACGTGGACGTGGACGTGGAAGTGGACGTGGACGTGGACCTGGACATGGACGTGGACGTGGACGTGGACGTGGACGTGGACCTAGACGTGGACATGGACGTGGACGTGGACGTGGATGTGGACATGGACGTGGACGAGGACGTGGACGTGGACATGGACGTGGACGTGGACATGGACGTGGACATCGACATGGACGTGGACGTGGACGTGGACATGGACGTGGACGTGGACGTAGACGTGGACATGGACGTGGACGTGGACGTGGACGTGGACGTGATCGTGGACGTAGACGTGGACATGGATGTGGACGTGGACGTGGACGTGGACGTGGACGTGGACGTGGACGTCGACATGGACGTGGACGTGGACGTGGACGTGGACGTGGACATGGACGTGGACGTAGACGTGGACGTGGAGGTGGACGTGGACGTGGACGTGGACGTGGACGTGGACGTGGACTTGGACGTGGACACGTGGACGAAGACATTGTGGACGTGGACGTGGACGTGGACGAAGACATGGTTGTGGACGTGGACGTGGATGTGGACATGGACGTAGACGTGGACGTGGACGTGGACATGGACGTGGACGTGGACGTGGACGTGGACGTGGACGTGGACGGGGACGTGGACGTGGACGTGGACGTGGACGTGGACATGGACGGGGACGTGGACGTGGACGTGGACATGGACGTGGACGTGGACATGGACGTGGACATGGACGTGGACGTCGACATGGACGTGGACGTGGACGTAGACGTGGACGTGGACATGGACGTGGACGTGGACGTGGACGTGGACGTGGACGTGGACGTGAACGTGGACGTGGACGTGGACATGGACGTGGACGTGGACGTGGACGTGGACATGGACCCGGACGTGAACGTGGACGTGGACGTGGACCTGGACGTTGACGTGGACGTGGACGTGGACATGGACATGGACGTGGACATGGACATGGACATGGACGTGGACGTGGACATGGACGTGGACGTGGACGTGGACGTGGACATGGACGTGGACGTGGACGTGGACATGGACGTGGACATGGACATGGACGTGGACATGGACGTGGACATGGATGTGGACGTGGACATGGACATGGACGTGGACATGTACGTGGACATGGACGTGGACATGGACGTGGACATGGACGTGGACGAAGACGTGGACATGGACGTGGACGTGGACGTGGACGTGGACGTGGACATGGACGTGGACATGGACGTGGACATGGACATGGACGTGGACATGGACGTGGACGTGGACATGGACGTGGACGTGGACATGGATGTGGACATGGACGTGGACGTGGACATGGACGTGGACGTGGACGTGAACATGGACGTGGACGTGGACGTGGACGTGGACGTGGACGTGGACGTGGAGGACTCGGACGTGGACATGGACGTGGACGTGGACGTGGAGGACTTGGACGTGGACATGGACGTAGACGTGGACGTGGACATCGACGTGGACGTGGACGTGGATGTGGACGTGGACGTGGACGTGGACATGGACGTGGACGTGGACGTGGACGTGGACGTGGAGGAACATGGACGTGGACGTGGACGTGGACGTGGTCATGGACTTGGACATGGACATGGACGTGGACGTGGACGTGGAGGACTTGGACGTGGACATGGACGTGGACGTGGACGTGGACGTGGACGAAGACATGGTCGTGGACGTGGACGTGGACGTGGACGTGGACGTGGACCTGGACGTGGACGTGGACGTGGACGTGGACGTGGACGTGGACGTGGACATGGACATGGACGTGGACGTGGACGTGGACGTGGACGTGGATGTGGACGTGGACGTGGACGTGGACGTGGACTTGGACGTAGACATGGACGTGGACATGGACGTGGACGTGGATGTGGACATGGACGTGTACATGGATGTGGACGTGGACGTGGACGTGGACGTGGAGGACTTGGACGTGGACATGGACGTGGACGTGGACGTGGTCGAGGACGTGGACGTGGACGTGGACGTCGACATGGACGTGGACGTGGACGTGGCAGTGGACGTGGACGTGGACCTGGACATGGACGTGGACGTGGACGTGGACGTAAACATGGACATGATCGTGGACGTGGACGTGGACGTGGACGTGGACATGGACGTGGACATGGACGTGGACGTGGAAGTGGACGTGGACGTGGACGTGGACGTGGAAGTGGACGTGGACCTGGACATGGACGTGGACGTGGACGTGGACGTGGACCTAGACGTGGACATGGACGTGGACGTGGACGTGGACATGGACGTGGACGTGGACGTGGACGTGGACATGGACGTGGACGTGGACATGGACGTGGACATGGACGTGGACGTCGACATGGACGTGGACGTGGACGTGGACATGGACGTGGACGTGGACGTAGACGTGGACATGGACGTGATCGTGGACGTGGACGTGGACGTGATCGTGGACGTAGACGTGGACATGGATGTGGACGTGGACGTGGACGTGGACGTGGACGTGGACGTCGACATGGACGTGGACGTGGACGTGGACGTGGACGTGGACATGGACGTGGACGTAGACGTGGACGTGGAGGTGGACGTGGACGTGGACGTGGACGTGGACGTGGACATGAACGTGGACGTGGACGTGGACGTGGACGTGGACTTGGACGTGGACACGTGGACGTGGACACGTTGACGTGGACGTGGACGTGGACGAAGACATTGTGGACGTGGACGTGGACGTGGACGAAGACATGGTTGTGGACGTGGACGTGGATGTGGACATGGACGTAGACGTGGACGTGGACGTGGACATGGACGTGGACGTTGACGTGGACGTGGACATGGACGTGGACGTGGACGTGGACGTGGACATGGACGTGGACGTGGACATGGACGTGGACATGGACGTGGACGTCGACATGGACGTGGACGTGGACGTAGACGTGGACGTCGACATGGACGTGGACGTGGACGTGGACATGGACGTGGACGTGGACGTGGACATGGACGTGATCGTGGACGTGGACGTGGACGTGGACGTGATCGTGGACGTGGACGTGGACATGGACGTGGACGTGGACGTGGACATGGACGTGGACGTGGACGTGGACATGGACGTGGACGTGGACGTGGACTTGTACGTGGACGTGGACGTGGATACGTTGACGTGGACGTGGACGTGGACGAAGACATCATGGACGTGGATGTGGACGTGGACGTGGACGAAGACATGGTTGTGGACGTGGACGTGGACGTGGACATGGACGTAGACGTGGACGTGGACGTGGACGTGGACGTGGACCTGGACGTGGACGTGGACGTGGACATGGACGTGGACGTGGACGTGGACGTAGACGTGGACGTGGACGTGGACGTGGACGTGGACGTGGACGTGGACGTGGACGTGGACGTGGACATGGACGTGGACGTGGACGTGGACATGGACGTGGACGTGGACGTGGACGTGGACGTGGACGTGGACGTGGACGTGGACGTGGACGTGGACGTGGACGTAGACATGGACGTGGACCTGGACATGGACATGGACGTGGACTTAGACATGGACGTGGACGTGGACGTGGACATGGACGTGGACATGGACGTGGACGTGGACGTGGACGTGGACGTGGACGAAGACATGGACGTGGACGTGGACGTGGACGTGGACATGGACATGGACGTGGACGAAGACGTGGACATGGACGTGGACGTGGACGTGGACGTGGACGTGGACGTGGACGTGGACATGGACGTGGACGTGGACGTGGACGTCGACATGGACGTGGACGTGGACGTGGACGTGGACGTAGACGTGGACGTGGACGTCGACATGGACATGGGCGTGGACGTGGACGTGGACGTGGACGTGGACGTGGACGTGGACGTGGAGGTGGACATGGACATGGACGTGGACGTGGACGTGGACATGGACGTGGACGTGGACGTGGACGTGGACATGGACGTGGACGTGGACGTGGGCGTGGACGTGGAGGACTTGGACGTGGACGTGGACGTGGACGTGGACATGGACGTGGACGTGGACGTGGACGTCGACGTGGACGTGGACATGGACGTGGACGTGGACGTGGATACGTTGACGTGGACGTGGACGTGGACGAAGACATCATGGACGTGGACGTGGACGTGGACGTGGACGAAGACATGGTTGTGGACGTGGACGTGGACGTGGACATGGACGTAGACGTGGACGTGGACGTGGACGTGGACGTGGACGTGGACATGGACGTGGACGTGGACGTGGACATGGACGTGGACGTGGACGTGGACGTAGACGTGGACGTGGACGTGGACGTGGACGTGGACGTGGACGTGGACGTGGACATGGACGTGGACGTGGACGTGGACATGGACGTGGACGTGGACGTGGACGTGGACGTGGACGTGGACGTGGACGTGGACGTGGACGTGGACGTGGACGTAGACATGGACGTGGACCTGGACATGGACATGGACGTGGACGTGGACGTGGACATGGACGTGGACATGGACGTGGACGTGGACGTGGACGTGGACGTGGACGTGGACGAAGACATGGACGTGGACGTGGACGTGGACGTGGACATGGACATGGACGTGGACGAAGACGTGGACATGGACGTGGACGTGGACGTGGACGTGGACGTGGACGTGGACGTGGACATGGACGTGGACGTGGACGTGGACGTGGACGTGGACGTGGACGAAGACATGGACGTGGACGTGGACGTGGACGTGGACATGGACATGGACGTGGACGAAGACGTGGACATGGACGTGGACGTGGACGTGGACGTGGACGTGGACGTGGACGTGGACATGGACGTGGACGTGGACGTGGACGTCGACATGGACGTGGACGTGGACGTGGACGTGGACGTAGACGTGGACGTGGACGTCGACATGGACATGGGCGTGGACGTGGACGTGGACGTGGACGTGGACGTGGACGTGGACGTGGACGTGGAGGTGGACATGGACATGGACGTGGACGTGGACGTGGACATGGACGTGGACGTGGACGTGGACGTGGACATGGACGTGGACGTGGACGTGGGCATGGACGTGGAGGACTTGGACGTGGACGTGGACGTGGACGTGGACGTGGACATGGACGTGGACGTGGACGTGGACGTCGACGTGGACGTGGACATGGACGTGGACGTGGACGTGGACGTGGACGTGGACGAAGACATGGACGTGGACGTGGACGTGGACATAGACGTGGACGTGGACGAAGACGTGGACATGGACGTGGACGTGGACGTGGACGTGGACGTGGACGTGGACATGGACGTGGACGTGGACGTCGACATGGACGTGGACGTGGACGTGGACGTGGACGTGGACGTGGACATGGACGTCGACATGGACATGGACGTGGACGTGGACGTGGAGGTGGACGTGGACATGGACGTGGACGTGGACGTGGACGTGGAGGTGGACATGGACATGGACGTGGACGTGGACGTGGACGTGGACATTTGCATTTTAAGTTCTAATACTGACCGACCTTGCCAATGCACCATTTTCTCTATACATGTGCGTTGAATACATTTCAAACCTTTTTAGCTGACTAGATTTATATATTTCCCACCTTCTGATCGAGTGAGACCGTTAGATTCCCTCTACTTTTTGAGAAACGAGGGTTTCCATTCTCCCTGGCCCCACCTGCACTATGAGTGCGAAATGCCGGCCAGACTGGCCGATGCACCATTTTCTCTACACATGTGCGTTAGTTACCTTTCAAACCCTTACGTTCACTAGATTAATATATTTCCTACCTTATATTTGAGTGGGACCACTAGATTCCGTGTATTATGCGAGATCTGAGTGGTTCCGTTCTCCCGGGCATTTGCACTCTAAGTTCCCATACTGACCGACCTGGCCAATGCACCACTTTCCATATACATATGCATTAGATTCCTTCCAAACCTTATTTGCTCACTAGATTTATATATTTCCCACCTTCTGATCGAGTGAGACCGCTAGATTCCCTTTAATTTTTGAGAAATGAGCGTTTCCGTTCTCCTTGGCCCTACTTGCACTATAAGTGCGAAATGCCGGCCAGACTGGCCGATGCACCATTTTCTCTACACATGTGCGTTAGTTACCTTTCAAACCCTTACGTTCACTAGATGAATTTATTTCCTACCTTCTATTTGAGTGAGACCACTAGATTCCGTGTACTATGCGAGATCTGAGCGCTTCCGTTCTCCCTGACATTTGCACTCTAAGTTCCCATACTGACCGACCTGGCCAATGCACCATTTTCCATATACATATGCATTAGATTCCTTTCGAACCTTATTAGCTCACTAGATTTATATATTTCCCACCTTTTGATCGAGTGAGACCGCTAGATTCTCTCTACTTTTTGAGAAATGAGCGTTTCCGTTCTCCTTGGCCCTAGTTGCACTATAAGTGCGAAATGCTGGCCAGACTGGCCGATGCACAATTTTCTCTACACATGTGCGTTAGTTACCTTTCAAACCCTTACGTTCACTAGATGAATATATTTCCTACTTTCTATTTGAGTGAGACCACTTGATTCCGTGTACTATGCGAGATCTGAGTGCTTCCGTTCTCCCTGGCATTTGCATTTTAAGTTCTGATACTGACCGACCTGGCCAATGCACCATTTTCTCTATACAGGTGCGTTGAATACATTTCAAACCTTTTTAGCTGACTAGATTTATATATTTCCCACCTTCTGATTGAGTGAGGCCGTTAGATTCCCTCTACTTTTTGAGACACGAGCGTTTCCGTTTTCCCTGGCCCCACCTGCACTATGCGTGCGAAATGCCGGCCAGACTGGCCGATGCACCATTTTCTCTACACATGTGCGTTAGTTACCTTTCAAACCCTTACGTTCACTAGATGAATTTATTTCCTACCTTCTATTTGAGTGAGACCACTAGATTATGTGTACTATGCGAGATCTGAGCGCTTCCATTCTCCCTGGCATTTGCACTCTAAGTTCCCATACTGACCGACCTGGCCAATGCACCATTTTCCATATACATATGCATTAGATTCCTTTCGAACCTTATTGGCTCACTAGATTTATATATTTCCCACCTTCTGATCGAGTGAGACCGCTAGATTCTCTCTACTTTTTGAGAAATGAGCGTTTCCGTTCTCCTTGGCCCTAGTTGCACTATAAGTGCGAAATGCCGGCCAGACTGGCCGATGCACAATTTTCTCTACACATGTGCGTTAGTTACCTTTCAAACCCTTACGTTCACTAGATGAATATATTTCCTACTTTCTATTTGAGTGAGACCACTTGATTCCGTGTACTATGCGAGATCTGAGCGCTTCCGTTCTCCCTGGCATTTGCATTTTAAGTTCCGATACTGACCGACCTGGCCAATGCACCATTTTCTCTATACAGGTGCGTTGAATACATTTCAAACCTTTTTAGCTGACTAGATTTATATATTTCCCACCTTCTGATTGAGTGAGGCCGTTAGATTCCCTCTACTTTTTGAGACACGAGCGTTTCCGTTCTCCCTGGCCCCACCTGCACTATGCGTGCGAAATGCCGGCCAGACTGGCCGATGCACCATTTTCTCTACACATGTGCGTTAGTTACCTTTCAAACCCTTACGTTCACTAGATGAATATATTTCCTACCTTATATTTGAGTGAGACCACTAGATTCCGTGTATTATGCGAGATCTGAGGGGTTCCGTTCTCCCAGGCATTTGCACTCTAAGTTCCCATACTGACCGACCTGGCCAATGCACCACTTTCCATATACATATGTATTAGATTCCTTCCAAACCTTATTAGCTCACTAGATTTATATATTTCCCACCTTCTGATCGAGTCAGACCGCTAAATTCCCTTTACTTTTTGAGAAATGAGCGTTTCCGTTCTCCTTGGCCCTACTTGCACTATAAGTGCGAAATGCCGGCCAGACTGGCCGATGCACCATTTTCTCTACACATGTGCGTTAGTTACCTTTCAAACCCTTACGTTCACTAGATGAATTTATTTCCTACCTTCTATTTGAGTGAGACCACTAGATTCCGTGTACTATGCGAGATCTGAGCGCTTCCGTTCTCCCTGGCATTTGCACTCTAAGTTCCCATACTGACCGACCTGGCCAATGCACCACTTTCCATATACATATGCATTAGATTCCTTTCGAACCTTATTAGCTCACTAGATTTATATATTTCCTACCTTCTGATCGAGTGAGACCGCTAGATTCCCTTTACTTTTTGAGAAATGAGCGTTTCCGTTCTTCTTGGCCCTACTTGCACTATAAGTGCGAAATGCCGGCCAGACTGGCGGATGCACCATTTTCTCTACACATGTGCGTTAGTTACCTTTCAAACCCTTACGTTCACTAGATGAATTTATTTCCTACCTTCTATTTGAGTGAGACCACTTGATTCCGTGTACTATGCGAGATCTGAGCGCTTCCGTTCTCCCTGGCATTTGCACTCTAAGTTCCCATACTGACCGACCTGGCCAATGCACCATTTTCCATGTACATATGCATTAGATTCCTTTCGAACCTTATTAGCTCACTAGATTTATATATTTCCCACCTTCTGATCGAGTAAGACCACTAGATTCCCTTTACTTTTTGAGAAATGAGCGTTTCTGTTCTCCTTGGCCCTAGTTGCACTATAAGTGCGAAATGCCGGCCAGACTGGCCGATGCACAATTTTCTCTATACATGTGCGTTAGTTACCTTTCAAACCCTTACGTTCACTAGATAAATATATTTCCTACTTTCTATTTGAGTGAGACCACTAGATTCCGTGTACTATGCGAGATCTGAGCGCTTCCGTTCTCCCTGGCATTTGCACTCTAAGTTCCCATACTGACCGACCTGGCCAATGCACCATTTTCCATATACATATGCATTAGATTCCTTTCAAACCTTATTAGCTCACTAGATTTATATATTTCCCACCTTCTGATCGAGTGAGACCGCTAGATTCCCTCTATTTTTTGAGAAACGAGCGTTTCCGTTCTCCCTGGCCCCACCTGCACTATGAGTGCGAAATGCCGGCCAGACTAGCCGATGCACCATTTTCTCTACACATGTGCGTTAGTTACCTTTCAAACCCTTACGTTCACTAGATGAATATATTTTCTACCTTATATTTGAGTGAGACCACTAGATTCCGTGTATTATGCGAGATCTGAGCGGTTCCGTTCTCCCAGGCATTTGCATTTTAAGTTCCGATACTGACCGACCTGGCCAATGCACCACTTTCCATATACATATGCATTAGATTCCTTTCGAACCTTATTAGCTCACTATATTTTATATATTTCCCACCTTCTGATCGAGTGAGACCGCTAGATTCCCTCTACTTTTTGAGAAATGAGCGTTTCCGTTCTCCTTGGCCCTAATTGCACTATAAGTGCGAAATGCCGGCCAGACTGGCCGATGCACCATTTTCTCTACACATGTGCGTTAATTACCTTTCAAGCCCTTACGTTCACTAGATGAATATATTTCGTACTTTCTATTTGAGTGAGACCACTTGATTCCGTGTACTATGCGAGATCTGAGCACTTCCGTTCTCCCTGGCATTTGCATTTTAAGTTCCGATACTGACCGACCTTGCCAATGCACCATTTTCTCTATACATGTGCGTTGAATACATTTCAAACCTTTTTAGCTGACTAGATTTATATATTTCCCACCTTCTGATCGAGTGAGATCGTTAGATTCCCTCTACTTTTTGAGAAACGAGCGTTTCCGTTCTCCCTGGCCCCACCTGCACTATGAGTGAGAAATGCCGGCCAGACTGGCGGATGCACCATTTTCTCTACACATGTGCGTTAGTTACCTTTCAAACCCTTACGTTCACTAGATGAATATATTTCCTACCTTATATTTGAGTGAGACCACTAGATTCCGTGTATTATGCGATATCTGAGCGGTTCCGTTCTCCCAGGCATTTGCACTATAAGTTCCCATACTGACCGACCTGGCCAATGCACCACTTTCCATATACATATGCATTAGATTCCTTCCAAACCTTATTAGCTCACTAGATTTATATATTTCCCACCTTCTGATCGAGTGAGATCACTAGATTCCCTTTACTTTTTGAGAAATGAGCGTTTCCGTTCTCCTTGGCCCTACTTGCACTATAAGTGCGAAATGCCGGCCAGACTGGCCGATGCACCATTTTCTCTACACATGTGCATTAGTTACCTTTCGAACCCTTACGTTCACTAGATGAATTTATTTCCTACCTTCTATTTGAGTGAGACCACTAGATTCCGTGTACTATGCGAGATCTGAGCGCTTCCGTTCTCCCTCGCATTTGCATTTTAAGTTCCGATACTGACCGACCTGGCCAGTGCACCATTTTCTCTATACATGTGCGTTGAATACATTTCAAACCTTTTTAGCTGACTAGATTTATATATTTCCCACCTTCTGATCGAGTGAGACTGCTAGATTCCCTTTACTTTTTGAGAAATGAGCGTTTCCGTTCTCCTTGGCCCTACTTGCACTATAAGTGCGAAATGCCGGCCAGACTGGCCGATGCACCATTTTCTCTACA